CCCAACTATTTATTTATTGACTTAAACCTTAATATTCTTAACTATGGAACTTGCGGACATGCCCAGAAAGTTCTAGCACTCATTACAAAAATCCAACTCACACATAAACATAATAATAAATCAACTAGGCACACCAAAGTTCATACCGCACTACTAGACTCAACTTGACCCGTGCTACTAACGTCTTATTACATAGAAAGGAACTCCAACACCTATGGGTGAAATTCATGGGGAAGCTCCTCATAGATCCTTGGTAGGTTGAGGCACACCCATTGCTCATCTATCACTTGTCGGTATCTCTTAAGGGTCGCCTCCTGTGCCTTCAAATGATCTTCTAGCCATCGATTCTTGTCTACTAATTCATAGGCATAGTGCACCATCACTTGAGTAGTGCCTTCAAATGGTCCATTATTGCCCATCCCAAGTCAGGGTGTTGGCGAGGGAGGAAGCAATATTGATCTTCCTTCATATCATCAAAGCGACAACCACGGAGACCCATGCAGGCTACATCAGCCGCATCTTCTATGCTATCTTCCATGGTGGCACAGTGAGCATGATGCGCATAATTTGAGTCCAGCTGGTACGCTTCCTTCTCTCCATCCCGGATGGAGATGCACACCCTGGTCTTCCAATAAGTGTCCTCCAGAGGGTGAATATGCTCGTTGCAGACGTACTTCACAGCTGTGTTCCAATCAGCGTAGTAGGTCTGAAGAATCCCCATAAGTTGGTGGTGTGAGACAGAGGATTCACAGCCTATCTTGTACCAGATCTTTGTAGTCCATCCCATGGCAGGGGTAGGCTGATCTTCTTAAATGGCGTCCTCCTCCTCATCATCATTAGACAAAACAACAACCTCCACTTCTTTGGATTTTTCTTCTTTGGGCTCTTCCTAGAATGGCTCAGGCGTAGGTGCAGGTGCTGGTGAGTCAACTTTTTGCTCCTGGGGTTTCTCCTCCTCACGTGGCTCCATAGACTCATACAAACCACGAGGCGGGTAGTAACCTCCGATGCTGATGCGAGCGGTCTTATTGGCACGAGGCATCTATAGAATTAGATTTAGTTAGAATAGAAGCAAAAAATTTTATAACAGAGTGAAGCAAAAGAAGCATAAAATTTAGCAAATAACAAGGGTGATATGGGAAGCATAAAATAAGTGAAGCAAAAGAAGCTAAAACGATCATTGCTAACTAGGCTTGCGTCATACAGTCAACACGGCTTTGATACCAATCTGTCACACCCGATTTTAAGGATAAAATGGGATGCATAATTTTATATGCGCTCAGAGATCAGTCACACATATAAGCCGATAAATTATAACTAGTATCATCACAAGTGTTTATTACATCACGAATAATATGACAGTCTTCACATAAATGTAGCGGAAGTATAAAGAAAAATCTCTCACGAAGGCTCCATATCACAGGGACGTCAACTGGTTGATCACAAGTCTAGTAATCCTTAGGAAAGTCGTCATTATCATAGCCATCTATTACCCATCCGGGATTTTTATCCAAATAATAAAAATAAACAAGCGTAAGTACGTGTCGTACTCAGTAAGTGTAACATGGGGTTCATGAGGCTCAAAAGGTTTGACACAGGTTTAACAGCATTCAGCCTTTAGTTGTGACAATTTTAGCATAAGAGTAGCAACAAGTTGTTTTAATCCCAAAGTGAAACACATGATCAATGTAAACATGAATAATGAATAACATAAACGGATAATTCTTAGTTATTCACTATTCCATGAGGGTTCCAAGGCCGCTCGTGACTGTGAGCACGACTGATATACCAGTTTTACACTCTGCAAAGGTTGTACACTTTCACTGTGAGTCGTGATACCCATATGTCCGGGTTAATTACTCCCAAAACACTTCTAAGGTGAAGCCTTTCAAAGGTTCGACTAACAAGATAGGACCATTAGATTCACTCGGCAAACAGATATAGGACCACCCCTTCGAATGGCACAATTCCATCACGGCTATACACATAAGAGTAGAGGCTGTCCTATATCCGATTCGACAAGTCATTCTTATGCCAATAAAGGTAACCTCTAACAAGCTAGAAAATGTCCTCATACTGAGCTAAAGCTAGAGCCATGTAGACCTCATAGTTGTACTATAAGTCCTGGGTGATCACTTATAGATAAGTCCTTAGGGAGAGGAATCTGAAATATTTAGAAAGTAGCTAAATACTCCAGTCCCCTGTTTCCAAGTTGCTAAAAAGTCATGTTTTTATATTTATTGCATATACCATTAGTCAAGTTACAAGATCATGGTTTAGTTGAGCACTAGCAAAGCTATCTAATGCATATCCCATAGGAGACAAGGTATAAGTACAATTCTAGGGAATCCCTATCAAGGTGACACATGCAACATGAATTAAATGTATTAAAGTTGATAGAAAATAAGGATAATCTCATGCTATACTTGCCTTGAACAAAGTGCTCCAGCTGATCCTGTTCGTCAAAGTAGTACTCTTGATCACCCACGACTTGCTCACCGTCTATACTCGATAATCACAGCAACATACAAGCATCCAGAAGCAATCATGCATAGCAAACAAAAGCTATAGATTAGAACAGTACACCAACCCGCATAAAATTAAGATGAAATGTTTGTAAATTGAATTTACGTCTCACTACGAACACTCGGACGCGAAGATCACAAAAGTCGGAGCTAAAACGAAGAAGTTGTGAATTAAACAAGATTTTCTTTACTAAAATAATAGATTAAATCTAACCTCGGATTTTAGAAATTGAAAACACACTTATCAGTAGTATGAACATGTAGATTACACAATTATGAACCTAACGCAACTTGAACGGGTAAAATCGAAGCTAAAACGTTAAAGTTATGGCCTAAAGAAAACTAGTGGTAAAACTGTAAATAGATAAAAACGTATATTGGATCTAACAGAGGAAAACTGCACTTTCAAAAAGAGAAAACGTATTATAGAAATATGCTATGGAGTGCGGATTCTTTTTCAATAAAACCGAGGGGCTCTTTTAAAAGCTCGCCGGCGTTCATGGTTTAGGGCCTACGGATCACCACTGAGCGAAACAAAAGGCACGGGGAGAGAGAGGAGATCAAGGCGAACTCACCAAGGGAGTTTTCGTTGGCGAGGGCAGGACTGCGGTGGCGGGTCGATCGTTGAGGCGGACGGCGACGGCGGTGACTCGAGCTGCTAGGGTTTGGCATCGGCGTGGAGCACAAGCAAGGGCGGCGCGGGCTCTCAGATTAGGTAGGAGAGCGGCACGACACGGACGCTATTTATGAAGGCAGAGCAGCGTGGGCAACACGCCAAGACGCGGTCGTGGCGGAGGCAGACTTCCGGCGGCGGCGGAGTTCGGCGTCGAAATGAGTCGGAGGAAGGAGAAAGGTGACTGACAGGCGGGACCGGCTCGTCAGCGAGACACGACGGGAGAGTGGAGAGCACAGACGACACTGCTGGGCCGCTACAAAGAGAGAGCAGGCCGCGCGGAGAAAGCAGGCCGCACAGGAAGCCAGGGCGAGCTGGGTTGTTTGGGCCAAATTCAAGAGAGGGAGAGAGGAGGAAATAAAACTCCTTTCCTATTTTCTTATCACAATTTTAAATCTAATTTAAACTCAAATTCAAATTTCTTTGCCAATTCCAATCAAACCAAAGCATCACAAAATAAAGATGCAGCAGCATGGATGCACATCCATGTACGTAGACTTATATTTGGTTTTAATTTTAACAAAGTGGTTATTTTTCTAAATTTAAATACTCACAAAATGCATAATTAAATTATTTTCTCCTATTTTAAAATCATAAAAATTTTAGGGTGTTACAGATAATCGTTGCGAAACTAGGATATAGCTGTTTCGAGAGCTAGTGAAGAAAACAAGAATCGTTTCAAGGAGAAACAGTGCTTTTGTTCAAGTGTGTTTGGAACAGATTTGGATGATTTTGACTGGAAACTGAATCGTTTCGAGTATGCAAACAAACCCTTACTCTTTTTCATCAAAAAAGTATCATTCTTATTTCTCAAAAAAAATAGCATTAACCAAATATATATAGATAATATTAATAGTATTCACGGTGCATACTAAATATTAGTAAATTAACCTTTGAATACATTTTTATAATAAACTGACGATACAAATGTTGTTATTATGTTTTATAAATAAGTTTGACTAGCGCAAAACTCTATACGACACTCTTCTTAGGCGATGGGAGTAGAAGCTAGTGGGGCTCCATTGAAGCACTCAAATTAAAGATTGTGAGGTAACTCCCAAGATTGATTGGTTGTAAGATACTCCGGTGCTCATTGCCACCGGAGATTGGTGAAGTGCAACTCTAATGAAGTTGAGCATCTTGTGATCTTCTAAAAGTACGAAACTGTGTCATACCAAGCTTGACACACCTCCATGGCCAGACAATTGATAATTCGGCCCCCTCTCGTTCGGGTGGGGTTGCCATCAGCTCCTACATCATCATCGACCACAAAAGCCTTACCGTCACGTTAAGCTCAAGGGTTCACCTTAAGTCTTCACGTCACCAACCACTCATGGTAACCAATGTATATGCATTGATTAGTTCAATGGAAATGTCATTTGTGCTCTTTGGTGTTGTCAGGATCAGAACGTGCTACATATATAGAAATTGAATTTTTGAATATCTTATTACTATATTATCCTCTATTATGATTTTCTGATAAACACATACGTACCGCACGTACACATCCACTAGTTCTCTACTATAACGAGTGTTGTTTGATGGATCACCATGATTTTTTCCCATCTGAAAAATGGATTTTATTTCAATAATAATAATTCAACTATATTTTACAGGTAAACATGATTACACTTGATAATAATAAATCACATGTAAAAGCCCCAACTTTTTGAGGCAATTATGAATGGATTATAAATTACTTAACATCTTGTGTCCTATGCTGTATCGCTGAAGTTACCAACCAAAGACTTGCTCTGCAAGACTGCACCACCTGTGAAGTGTAATCCTTTTCCTGTTATACATCAGGCTTCAAAGCTGATCTGCAACTCTTCCTTGCCGACCATGAGGAAATGAGACCCTCTGTCGATCACCTTCTTGCCGTCCTCCCTCGCCCGGCTGAAATGTTCGCACGGGCTGACATCAAACCTGACGTTGGCCTTCTCCCCTGCCTTGATGTGCTGGCTCCTGAATCCGATCAGCTGGCTCACCGGCCGGCCATCCGTCTCATTGGGCCACCGGAGAAACATGAGCACCGAGTGCTTGCCGTCCATTGGTCCGTGGTTCTGCACCTCGACCTCCGCCGGGAACTTGAGCTGCTCACACCCATCCGCGCCGATGTCATCGACGTGGTAATAGCTCGTGGCGTCCTTGGTCGTCGCGGACAGGCCGGCAAGTAGGCTCGTGCTAGGAGCCAGCTGGTTCTTGCCGACGGTGACTAGCTGGTGTGAGAACTTGGAGTAGCTGAGGCCGTATCCAAACTTGTAGATGGTGTTGCCCCGGTAGAAGCGGTAGCTCCTGCCGGGGTATCCGGTGGCCGGATCGGCACGCATTCGCATGTCCCTCATGGGCACCTTAGTGAACTCCTCCGGGTACCATGTCACGGGCAACCTGCCGCTGGGGTTGTGGTCGCCGAAGAGGACTCTGGCGATGGCAAGCCCTCCTGCCTGGCCTGGGTAGCCTGCCCACAGGATGGCGCCGATCTTGGGGTTCGACTGCGCGAACGTGAGATGTCCACGGGGCCGCCCGTGAGCATCACAAGGATCACCGGGCGCTTGGCCGCGCTGGCGACGGCGGTGATGAGGCTCTGCTGCTTTCCCGGGAGCAGCAGGCTCGTCCTGTCCAGCCCTTCCTTCTCCTGATCCTGGCTGAGCCCCATAAACAGGAACACATACTCCGACGAGCTCGCGAGCGCGGCCGCCTGGCCCGTCGCGGCGTAGCCGCAGGCAGCCGAGCTGCACCCAGCCAAGAACCGCACGTTCCTGACATAGCTCTGGATCCCCTCAGCGGCGTTGTGGTCTCGCACGCGGGGCCGAAGTAGTTCCCGCTCAGCACGAGCGGGTCGTTGGCGTTGTGCCCGATCACGGCCGCGGAGCCTACCGCGGACCGGTCGAACGGGAGGATGCCCGCGTCGTTCTTGAGGAGGACGATGCCGTCCTGCGCCGCCTCGAGGGCGAGGTTCTTGTGGTCGGCGGTGCACACGTCCGCGGCGCCAAGGCGGCCGTACAGCGCGTTGCCGCGCGGGTCGCCGTCGAAGTGGCCCAGCCGCATCCGCACGGCGAAGAGGTTGGTGAGCGCCTTGTCCACGTCCTTCTCCGTCATCTTCCCCTGCTGGATCGCGGCCATGCCGTGCTCCTGTGTGTAGGTCCCGCAGTTCAGGTCCAGTCCTGAAATTATAAATTAATAAAAGCCAGGTCAGTCATATTAGTGCAGTGTCTCGTACTTACTGATTAAAGTTCCCCGGCCAGTATAAACTTACCAGCCTTGAGGGCGACGGCGACGGTGTCCTCCGGCGTGGGCACGTAGCGCTGCGCGTCGTGCATGATGGCCACGGCGTCGCAGTCCGAGGACACGTAGCCGTCGAGGCCCCAGGCGCCTCGGAACGTCTTGGTGAGCAGGTCGGAGCTGGCGCAGGCGGGCACGCCGTTGATCCCCGTGTAGGCGCACATGACGCAGCTGGCCTTGCCGTCGACGACGCAGCTCTGGAACGGCGGGTTGAACGTGTCGGCCAGGTCCTGCAGCGTCACCCGGGCGTCGAAGTCGTAGCGCGCCACGCCGTTCCAGTCCTCGAGGTCGTAGGCCGTGGCGTGCTTGCAGCACGCCGAGGCCTGCAGCGGCGCCGGAGCGCCGGCGGGGGTGCTGCCCTGGATGCCCCTGACGAAGGCGACGCCGTACTTGCTGGCCACGGCCGGGTCCTCGCCGGGGGTCTCCTGCCCGCGGCCCCATCGCGGGTCCCGGAAGATGTTCACGTTGGGTGACCAGATGGTGAGGCCCTCCGCCTGCCCCAGGTTGTATAGCGCCCGGGCCTCCCGCCCGATGGCCTGCACGATACCAATTTTCACGTTACCATGGCAGGACGCAGCAAATCTCTCTAGCCATTAGATTAGCGAACGAACAAACAAATGCTGCCAACTTGGCTAATGATCATTCCATGAAGAATAGTAGGACTGTAGGACATGCTTCAGTTGCACGCTCAACAAGTTGGTGATTGCCACTTTGGCAATTGTTAAAGTGGGTAACCGATAGGTGTGAGTTGTACTGCTGTTCCCTCATTTATGTACGCGCATTCCGAACGATGGATCGATCATGGAGGGTGCGGGTGCAAAGCAACGTGACAAAGACGGGCACGTGCATCTGCATGCGGCCCTGAATGAAAAACAGTACTGTGTCTCATGGTTCGAACGCACTAACGACATTTCTCTATCGTTGTTGGGTTCGCCTTAGCGTCGCAGCCGCCGTTAAGCTCGCGCCCGCCTCACAGTTGTTGTTGAGCTTGCACCCATCTTTCTTCCCGACGCTTCAATGGAGCTGTGGGGCAGATCCGGCGTTACCTCTCGACGTTTGGAGGGTCCGCCGTCGCGGAGTGGTTGCTGCCTGGTGAGGAGGAGGCGCCGGCGCCGCCCGAAGGGTACGTCGTATCTTTTGCTATCTTCCATGAGCGGGGATTTGCTGTTCCCACGCATAGATTCCTTCGGGGGCTGCTGGATTATTACCAGGTGGAGTTGCAGCATCTTACTCCCAACGGGGTTCAACATATGACGGCGTTTGTTGCCCTGTGCGAGGGTTTCCTGGGGATCGATCCCCACTTCGATCTGTGGCGGCACTTCTTCACCGTCAGTCTGTCGAAGAGGCGGGTTGGGGGGAAGGAGGTGAATGTGCCGATGGGATGCGCCAGCATTCATTTGCGCCATACCCGGTCGAGGGGCTACCCGTTGATGCGTCTGTCGACCTCCAACAAGGGTGACATTCGTAGTGGTTTTACGTCAGGGATGATGTGAGCGTTCCCCTGCCAAAGTACACTGGGCGCCTCATCGAAGAGGCTCCGCAGTCGTGGCAGTGGGGCGTCCTGACTAAGGAGAAGAAGCACATCATAGACCTTCTCGCCGCCCTCCATGCTCTGAAGGAGCGGGGTGTGAAGGGGTCAGGGATTATCGGTGCCTACCAGGCGAGGAGGGTGGCGCCGCTGATGGCGCGCGCGCTTCCCCTGCACCAGATGGTGTCTGGAGCGTCGTTCGAAGGGACATTGCTTGTCGATGAAGCACTTCCTCCCTCTGAGGTGGCGCAGCGCATTAAGGAGGCGATGGAGTCCTCGAAGGACACCACCGGCGCCACCCTCGACCTTGTGTATCCGGTGCCAGGGCATCCCCCAATGCGGCCGGAACCAGGGTTTTTTGAGTTTGTAAGCCTTCTTTCCTCGCGCTCCTCTCTTTACTTGAACCTTTTGACCCTTTGATGCTGACTCTGGGGTGTTCGTGGACCAGCCGAGGAGGCTAATCTTCAAGGATAGTCCGGCCCCGATGCCGAGGGATCGGGTGCTGGCGGCATTGAATCGTATTGCGGCCGAGTGGGACAAGAAGACAAAGGAGCTCAGGAAGCAGGAGAGGCGACGAAAGCAGGAAGCACGGAATCGAGGAGAGGATGTAAGCGATGATGATGATGATGATGACGATGACGATGACGATGACGATGACGATGACGATGACAATGGTGACGAGGTAGCTGGCGACGTGGATTGGGGTGTCCTGGAGGATGAGGGCACGCTAACGAGTGCCCATCCGTCCGTGCAGGAACCCCTCCCGTTCCGCGTGGAGGGAAGCGAGTCCACGAGGTCGGCGGAGGTGGGAGCCGAAGAGTCCACCGCTTCGCGCGGGGTGCCGGCAGAGGATCGATGGATGGGGGGATCCGAGGAGGTCCCCAAGGTGCTGATGGAGGGGGCGGCTCCGACGCTGTGCCCCATGAGCTGATGGAGGGGGACGGCTCTGGCGCCGCGCCCTCGGAGTCAATGGAGGGGGGTGGCTCTGGCGCCGCGTCGTCGGAGTCAATGGAGGGGGCGGCTCTGGCGCCGCGCCCTCAGAGTCAAGGGAGACGAGCCCCCCTGCCTCGGAGCAGGGGGCAGGCTTGAAATGGTCCCGTCCACAAGAGTTGGAGCAGGGGCCCGGGGGTTCATCCCCAAAACGTACCCACCGCCCGAAAGCGTCAGAGTACGTCATCGATTTCCCTCGTTTTTTCCTTTTATTTTTCTGTTCTGATCTTACGCTTTTTTTTCTATTTTGTAGATTCTTGCGACGGGGCCACCCTCTGGGGCCGGCGCCCAAGAAGAGCCTCGCCCTTCAGGCGGGACGGATAACGCTGCTCGACGTCACCCCTGTTTTGGGCGCCGTGGTTGCGACCTCGTTGGCCGGTCCGGCAGCGCCTGTGGTGACGCCCGTGCCCTTGGTGGTTTCTGAGCAGACAGTTGCGATTGCACCAAGCCAGGAGTAGCCGGACGCAGCCATGGTGGTGTCCAAGGGGGTGGCGCAATTCGAGCCCCCGACGGCCCAAGTAACGGTGCCCGATGCGGGCCAGACAGAGTCAGGTGGAGCCGCGGCGGCATCCGAGGGAGTAGCGCCATCCGTGCCACCGGAGGCCCAGACGGAGGTGGCCGCGACCGTGACGAGCCCGACGGGGTCGGTTACTGCTACGATGGCGTCTGAAGGGGCGGCGCAATCCGTGCCACTAGCGGTCCCGGCCACGGCGGTCGGGGAAGGCCGGATGGAGGAGGATACGGCCGAAGGGTCTTTGGGCGTCTTGGCGGTGGTGGGGAGGACCCGCGGGAGGTTGCCCCCAGCTCTGTTGTCGGGGGGCATCTGTTCTCCCGCGCGGGGCGAGCCACCGCTCTAGTGGATGGATGCTTGGGACCCGACATCGACTCTGTTCTCACTTGACGATGTTGCCGAGAGCATGGAGCGGGAGAGCCTTGACATCGGGTTCTCGGCTGTGATGAATGCCTTGAACCAGGCCACTAGAGCCATGCGCGAAATTATCGTTCCTTCCAGCTGAGTATCCGCCTTGTTTTCCTGTTTCTTTTTGTGTCCTTGTGTTTTCGTATTTTTGATATTGGCCTTCTTTTCAGAGTCTTGTTGCCCATAGCCGGAACAAATCTCGGTTTCTTCGTGAGCGAAAGGCGGAGTGGGACCGCCTCACCGAGGAGGCCTGGCTGCGAGGTGATGTGAGCGCGTAGCTTGCTGTCGTCCAGCAGCGGGAGGCCGTGGCGCGTCGGGACGTTGAGGAGTTCCATGCGATGTTTGAGGATTTGTCGGCGAGGACGAAGCTGGATGAGGAGGAGATCGCCAGGCTCCGAAAGGAGTGGGACGAGCTGCTACAGAAGAATGCCATGGCTAGTGAGCGGGCCGGCGAGCTCCTGGCGAAGCTACAGATGGAGCGGGACCTCAAGCTGAAGGCTGAGGAGAGGTCTGCGACGTTGCAGGAGAAGGAGAACTAGGATGCCGTGGTGGTCAACCGGGCCATCCGAGAGCGCGACGAAGCGCGTTGGGAGGCCGAGGCACGCCAGGCGGATCTTGGAGTCGAGGTGGCCCAATGGCTGGATGCCGAGGAAGTTTCTGCCGATCTGCGCGCCGATCTCGCCGAGGCACGGGGGCTTCTTCAGGTCGAAAGTGATGAGTATGATCGCCTGTCTTCCACCGTCCTGGCGGTCTATGACGACCTGCAGGTGGCGCAAGAGGAGGGGGCTGGTTCCCTCATGACTCATGCTACTGGTATCACGGCGTGGATGGGCCAGCTTGAGGAGAGCGCCTTTTGCCTTGGGATCACCTAAGCCTTCACTGTCGCCCATTCCCATTATGCTTAGGAGATCAACCTGGGGGTGATGAGCCAAGGCTTTGCGCCTGTCTATGAAGACGCTGAGCTGGATGAGATGGAGAAGGCGGTGGCTCCCCTTGTGCGGGACCTGGCGGACAAGCTGAAAGAAGAGGTTCTCCCTTCGTGGAAGTAGTTAGTGGAATTAGTTTGATAAACATTTATCTCTAATAGGTGAACAAGTGTCAGTTTATTCGTGTTCTGGAACAACTTCGTGATTTTGTTTCGTAATTTTGTTTTGTTTGTTTTTTACCTTACCTTCTCCCCTTTTTGTGATGAAAAAGTTTTACACGATCGACCGTTCCGTTTGTTAAGAGGAAATTTTGATTGTACTGGTGATAAAAAATTACCGTAGCCGTATGGGCGTGGGCCTTTTGCAATCTTACCAATCTGTTCCCCTGGACTTTGCTGCTAATCTTGATGCGAGGAAGAGGTCTGATGTAATGACTTTTTCAAAAAAGGGAAGGAAGTACCGATACCTTTATCAGCCCCCGAGTAAGGTCCGACCCTTTGTGGTTGCTGGGGTCGGATGTTACTGGAGACCGGAGCGAGGGAAGCGAACTTACGTTTGTATTCGCTCGTACCCCTTACTTAGGATCTTTGGCGGTCGCTACGTGACCATGCGTTCGGTTTTTACTGCTGGCTTGGCCTTCCCCGAGCCCCTGCGCGTGGTGAGGATTTGGTCGAGGGCCGGCATGTTTCGTGACGTTTCGTCCCGTCCACGATTCTTCGTAATTTGGAGGGGTTGGGGCGTTGTCACCTGCCTCGGTGGCTTGAATGACATGACTGATAAGTTCGCCACTCCTTGTCCTGCCTTCCAACAGATTTCCCCTTAATGGGGACTGTATGGGCTCGGCAAGAGGGTGGATTGAGCTTTAGAAGGTTGAGATGACCCTACCCGCCTTAATGTGGGTTGGGCAAAGGCCTCTGAGGCTCATCTCCATTTCCCCCTAGTTCTTGTTTGATGTGAGGCGGCCTCGGACCTTTGGCGGGTCAGCCTTCGAATCTCTGTCTTTGGATCGAGCGGCTCGAGCCCCCGAGCCCTCTTAGGGTCTGATAGGGGTCGGCCGTATTTCGCGCGGTACCCCGTCCTCGATTTTCGTAATCGGAGGGGCTGAGTAGACGATACTTGCCTCGACGGCTCGAGTATCGCGCTCAATGAGCTCGCTAACGGGTACGTTCGTGT